CCCGCTGGTCCTGAAATCCACTGCAAGGCCCTTCCCTCCCCACCTGCTCTGGCCCAAGGGGCTCTCCCCAGACCTCTTCCATGGAGACCCCACTCACAGGTGCCCTCCACCGCCAGCCTCACACGACCGACCCGAGGCCGGAGTGTGCTGACACACTTACCTACTGCCCACCTGCCAGCAGAGCACCCCGCGCAGGGCTGTGCCCGGGTCCTGGGTTAGTCCCCATCTTGCAGACGGCTTCCGGCACAGTCCCTGCTCCGTGGGATAACCTGTGCGCTAAAGCCTCGTGCACGACTGCTCGTTGTGGAACCAATACACGGTTCCTAGATAAAGCTCCAGGGTAGAAATTTTGTTTCCAGTTGTGTTTACACTCACGAGGCTATGCTCTTTGCAGGATGCTGCAGGGAACCAGGGCCAGGAGCTGACAACACGGGGGCCTGATTTACCCGCTGCTGCTCCCTCTGTGGAGTGGGCCCTAGCTCTCTTGGTCCCCCTAAACACCAGTCCTCATACACAGACCCAAGTGCTGGTGACCTGCACGTGACAGGAGAGGAGGAGGGAAGCCCTCGCCCAGGGCGGGCCCCCAAGCTTCCTGTTGGCAGGTCTAAGGAAGACAAGCATCACTCGGGGGTTAGGGGGGCCCTTCTCATGACAGAACCATCCGGGGAGGACTCCTACACCCAACTTCACTAGTTCAAGACCTCCAGGGTCTGTCACTGAGGACAAGAACCACAAGGTCCAGCAAAACCCAGCTAGAGGCCAAGCCGAGACTCAGGTGCATCCGGAGAGACCCAGGAAGGACGCAGGTGAACAGGGATGCCCATGCCCTCCTCCTGGACAGCTGTGCCTGCCGATGGCCACTCTGCGTGGGAGGGGACTCTGAAGACACAACCCATCTCCCCCGGGGAAGCTCACAGTTTAGCTCAAACTTGTCTTTCGGTGGGTCCAGCCTCCCTACTTCCAAGCAGAGCAGCATCCAACAATCGTGATGCAAGAATGGCCGAGCAGTGTTCAGAAACAGGGACAGGCGGTGGAAACACAAGCAAGCACATCTCGGCCAGCCAAGCCCACTGCATGATCAGAGAGGTCAAGTGGTTTGTCCAAGGTCATAAAGCAAGTTAATTTGGGGCTGAGACATAACCTGAGGTCCTATGACGATACAGGTCAGTACCAATGTTAACATAACATTACGCCTGAATTACATCTAATATTTTTGTCCAAAACGGCAGTTCTTTTGGAATGCCATTCCTTTCTCCTGCTTTCCACTTAAACACAGTTCTTGAAAGGAGTGAGGCTCTCTCCACAGGCGGAGGCCCTAGAGGACACAGAAAGCTCACGGGCCCATCCAGTAAGACACCATGTCTGGGCTGCTTCTTACAGGAACGGTTTCCAGAACATTCCTCCCAGACCCACGATGGCCAGTGTGGGAGCCGGGACCACCCGGGCGCCGACCCACTGCCCAAACTCGGCGTGACACAGAAACACGGGCGCCTCCTGTGGCCCCTTCCAGACAGAGAGAGCCTTCTCTAACGGAAAGTGACAGCTGCCCTCGAGCAGCTCCAGACATGCAAATGGCAAGAAAACCTGCCAGAAGGAGGTGGATCCAGAAGTGGCTGACCCGGTCCAGTCTCAGTCTGGCAACTGCTGGGCCCAAGCATGTCTCCCTAATGCGAGCATGTCTCCCTAATGCGGACGAGGGCTGCCAGGCACCCGGGGACCACGTGTCTTCCAGGCGTGGCCTTCGGGGCTGTGAGCACGGCGTTCCTTGCAGCCCATGGAGCTTGAAGAGGAATCCCGAATCAGTTCTCCAGCATCCTTTCCCCATCACTTGATGGTCTGCTACTTCCTCCTCCCTCCCACAAGGGCGGGGCTACAGGCTGGCCTCCACGTCTCTAAGATGCACCAACCTGAGTCTTAAAAAGCCGACTCCAGCGAAGTCAAGGGACTGTGGATGAAACAGGTCATCACAACACAGCGACCAGCTCTGGCTGGCCTCTAAGAGGCCTCAGGCCCCTGTGGACCACTCGGGACTCCAGAATCCATGACACTTACCCACCACCCTCGAAAAGAATGGGTTCACTCAGCATCCTGTTCAATTTTATCTCAATGTAATTTTTAAAAAACGCAGCAGGAAAACAGGCACTATTTGTTGTACGTATTTATTTATTTATTTATTTAACACGTGTGAGTACCTGCAATGGAATTGTATTTTATTGTTTAAAAAAGGCAAAGCTGTAAAATATGGCCCCAGGTGAGGTTACCAAAAGCAGCCAGAAAGGATGAAAATCACTCACTCCCCAGATTCTGCTCTGCGGCTCAGCTGGGGAGCAAAACCCCCAGAACGGAGGGACACCCTAAGATGGAGATGGCTCTGCCAGAGACCAGGAGGAGCCAGACAGCAGCCCCACCCGGCGCACGAAGGCACGGGGCGCATCTGGGGCCCTGGCAGGGCCCACACCTTGCCCTCCAATTTGGTTCCAAATCCCCGACTTCTCCCCCTTCTCCCAGTTAGAAAATTAACGAATGAAACAAACCACAAAGGAGGAGTTCATCGGGATGTGTACTTACTCTCCCGATGACTTTATTTGCACTTGCAGTCAAATCTAAAATCAAAGTCAATAAATTGTGTGGTTTTCTTTGTCCTTCATTAATGATGAAAACTGTTCATTCAAAAACTACACTAAGACAATGTATTCCTAAAGAGCAATCCAGCTTTAATCGCAGGGCATGAATCATCTTGCAGACAAATTATATCACGGTGATTTATCACTGGTACCGTACTGGGTTATTGTTGGGTTTTTTTGGGTTTGTTTTTTTTGGGGGGGGGTTGTTTTTCAGCAAACTTAGAACAAACCAGAGAACAAAATGTTAAGTTTTCATCATCATGTAGAAAAATAAGAAAAACAAACCTGAAGTGTCTACCTTTGTGTTGAGTGATTCACACTGCAAAAGTAAAACTGAAAACTACACTTACAGCAGAGTTTTAAAATACTCAGTGCAAGAAACACAGTCAGTCAACACAGATCACTGCTCACTGACGAATTCGGAAAGTTCTCCTATACAGAGGTAGAGTCCAGCACGCAAGGCTAAAACAATACTCAGCAGTCTACACAAGGCTGAGTCAGGTTTTCTGGGGTCCACTTTAAATTTTAAGTCATCAGACTGTGTGTACATCCGTACAATAAATAGACTATACAATTTTTTAAAGTAGTTTAATAAACTCCACAAAATAATAGCAGATGCATTGAAATATTTACATAATTCAATTTTCAAATCTCTCTCATTCAAATAAAAGGGATAAAAATAAGATTTCTGCTTAAAGGCAGCAGAACCTCTTTCCTGAAATGGGTCGGTGAAGTAAGCTACTTTACATGGGAGGAACTAACTCATATCTGAGAGGTATTCATATTCAGCTAAGAAAATATGTCCCTTTTTAAGCTCTATAGATTAGGGAATATAAAATGATACTTTCTACATTTTTGATCTCCATTTAAGTTCTAAATCCAACTCCCACTTGAAGAGAGAAGATGATTTTGGAACCCACACAGAGGATGTCAACACAATTACAATGGAAACGCGATCAACTCTCTATATTCTGCTTGTTTGCCTTTCAGAGTTTAAGCCAGGAGGAACCTGACGGTATTTCTGGCCCAAACGGCTGACACGTGATACAACGTGGGACTCTGACCAGTACGTGGCTTGGTGTTTCTGGGTTTCAACCTTCCAAGTTCTCCACCAACACTGCACGTCTGTGGGGAGCAGGGTACGCGCTCGGGCACACACCAGGGAGTAGGACGCCAAGTTCTCCAGCTCCACAGGAGGGAGGGGACACCGGTCATCTGCGCGATTCACCCGCGAGACTCCGCGAAGGGAAACCTAAGGAACCTGTCACTGTGACCAGAGGAAACATGCAAAACGCCGAGCGTGTGAGACCCAGACTCCGAGACTTGACGGGAAACTCCACCACCAAACCTTTAAAGTCACTGGGTAGAAAAGCCTCACCTAAAAGGAAACCGGGGGCAGGCATAATGGAAGAATTCCGTGACTGCGCTAAGCACCCACGATGCAAATGCAAGTTGAGTTTTTATTCAATCGTTCTGTGAAAAATACCTCGGGAAACACGGGCATCTTTCCCTTCAATGACCTTTCCCTGGATACCCGCCCC